GGTGACCGTTACTTTCCAGTTCAGGGACCTATTGTGTGACCGTTATTTGCCAATATAAAAAATTGGCACCATGCTTGCCAACATGGTGCCAATTTTTAGACTAATGTATTGTGCTGCGCTATCGTTGATGACAGTTCGGTGTTGCGGAGGGTAAAGATGGCCACACACCAGTGGAAGTTTCCTTTTTGGAACATTTTATTTTCTAATGGCTAGTGGGGGTCTAATCGTTGTTCATTTTTGACTGAAGTAACAAGGAAAATCAAAGGAGCAGGATGGATAAGTTTTCTTGTTTCTTATCTAAATGAACAAAATTCCAAAGTGAATGTGATTTTTGTTTGGGAAAAATTGTACATATTGTGATGTGCATGTGCTAGGCACACACAAACCTGTTTAGTATGTCTGGGACTCCGTTCAAGTAGCAGGTGTGGATGGCATTTTTAAGGACTTGATGGAAAGATCAAATGCTCTATCAAAGAATTTCGAGCGAGCTTTCAAACGAAAGTGTACGGCCAGTTGTAACATCTTCAAGTTTCTGAGAGCCGGATACCACAGGAAATTTTCTATAAAGTTGAATCAGCCCAGACGCTGATCTATTCTCTGTACAAGCATTACAATTCGATGAGAAATCTGTGTTTTGGAGAACAGCAGATGATGAAACATCACTGGACACGGCACGAATATATCACAATTTGCACACTCTGCAATCTTCTGGTTCACATAAATGTTGTAAAATCAATGAATCAATGTTGCTTCTAAAGCCAGCAGCTCTGATTACTTTCTTCTGATCTTGTTTGCTAATGTATGAATAATGCACTGTGTGGCTGATGTATAGAAGTAAAAGTGGAGCCTTTGCCCATAGCAATCAGTGTGTTTCTCTATTTCCGTTTCACAGCGCAGTTTAGATTTTCAAAGTTAAAAGCTGATCGGTTGGTATTGCGATACCCTATTTTCCCACTGGTCCAGTCTTAACATGTCCATTGATCTCCAAGTTCTCTCATAGGCAGTATCCTGGTGCATTGTTACTGTTGAATGCAATTCCTTGTCAAAATATAATTTTTGGAACGAGTTGCAAAGACTCAAATATTCCAAGAAGTTCCTGATCATCCTGTAGAATTTGGTCGTGCAGAGCCTCACTTATTTACTCTTTTGAAGTTTGGTGTTCTCTAGGTTTTATTTGTCCATCGGACAATGGTTGAGGTTAACATTGTTTTATTGTAGGCTGCTGTGCCCTCCCTGCAGGTGGTCTGTTTCACCTGACATCCTTTCTGAGCGGAGTGCAGAAGCGTTGGCTGACCCAGAAGTGTGTCAGGTGACAGTCGTAGCACGTTGTTCTACACAATGGAAAATCTTTCCAAGCACTCAGTACTTCCTGATTAATTGGGTTATAATGTTGAAAGGTGAACCATAATTTGAAGGTGTCTGCAGTTAGTGTGATATAAGTGCAGTTCAGGCATTCAAGGCCTGGGGGCTTGTTCACCCCATGTCCGGACCAGATCTGGAACAGATCTGCAAATGCAGTGCAGTGCATTTTTGCGATTTTGCCACTTCCAGTGCGTTTTTATACATTTCCATGCGTACCAGTGCATTGCAGACCAGAGAAAATGAGACTAGCAGTATTTATTTTTGTCTGGTCCAGAACGGACTGCGCTGGTGTAAACAGAGCCCAGAAATACCATAGGGGTACATTGGGAGGCTTTTTTGGTCTGGGAACATACTGTTCTGCTCTGGACATGGTCCGGACATGATGTTAACAAGGCCTAAAGTATATTATCAGACATTTTTTTAATTTACTTTGTAACCTCCCACTCCTCCTCTAAAGCATGTCCCAGGATTACTCTTTCATTTACCTTGTTGGCAGAGAGGATGAATAGGCAGAGTTCTGTAATCCAGCAGGAGAAAACTGAACAGATACAAAACAATTTACAGTTGTGAGTGCGCGTACATATAAATATACACACACACCTGAAGTTGATGTGTTAGAAGCAGAAAAAATGGGCAAGCGTAAGGATTTGAGCGACTTTGACAAGGGCCAAATTGTTATGGCTAGGGTCAGAGCAACTCCAAAACTGCAGCTCTTGTGGGATGTTCCCGGTCTGCAGTAGTCAGGACCTACCAAAAGTAGTCCAACGAAGGAAAAAAGTGAACTGCCAACAGGGTCATGGTGGCCAAGGCTCATTGATACACATGGGAAGTGAAGGCTGGCTGTAATCCAGTCCAGTAGAAGAGCTACTGTGGCTCAGATTGCTGAAAAAGTTAATGCTGAGTCCAAAAGAAAGGTGTCTGAACACACAGTGCTTTGTTTGTCTAATGACGGTACTGACATGGTTCCAAAACATTGCTACGCATTGTGAGATCACCTTTGTATGTCAATACAGAGGAATTGACAGCAGGAACTCTGGAGTGCCCGTGACTACTTCATTTCTCATGGTTTGATTGACAGCGCCATCCGCTGTTACTACAACACCCACCCGTAAGCTACAGGCACATTCTGGTCAGGAGTGCAATGGGACAGTTTGATATTTAACACACAGTGCATCGCAGTTTATTGCATACAGGGCAGCGTAAGCGCAGAGCGATCAGGGTGCCCATGCTGGCCTGTGTCCACCACCAAAAACACCTACTGTACAATGGGCACTTGAGCATCAGAACTGAACCATGGAGCAATGGAAGAAGGTGGCCTGGTCTGATGAATCATATTTTCTTTTACATCATGTGGATGACCAGGTGTCGCTTACCTGGGGAAAAGATGGCACCAGGACGCACTATGAGAAGAAGGCAAGCCGGTGAAGGCAGTGTGATGCTTTGGGCAATGTTCTTCTGGTCCTTGATGCATGATACACGGTTTTTAACTCCTTTTAGTCCCCTCGCACTGTTTTCATTTTTGCATCGGTATTGATAGTCTGCGTATGTATGAGACAAGCTTTGGAATAGCACATGTTTAGGGGAGGGAGGAGCACAGCACTGGAGGGGGTATGACTGCCATAATGTGCTAATATGCTGTACATACTGGAACATTATGGCTAAAAGCTGCAGGGGGCCCTTTTTTATTTTTTCAAACACACTTCTGTTTTCTAATGCAAAATGATGTAAAGAAGTGTAGCTTTTTAACAAAAGAACAGCCAGGGCCTTTGTTAAATCTAAATTTGTAAACCACCGAGGACTCATTCACACCATTTGTGCTACCTGGCTATGGGTCAGTCTTCCATAAATGGTGCTTGTTATTTGAAGTGGCAGATAAAATAGAAACTGTAAACACTCAGTATACATAAAGCGTGCCCCATACAGGTAAATCTTTCTTCTGTACTAACAAAACAACTCCATTTACTTCTTTCTACATAAAGCTCCTGGAGCCTTGCGGTAGCTGTATGATTTCCTCCCAGTGTGCAGCACGCATTGTTTTTCATCTTGATGCGTGTATTGTTAGCATCTTGGTTTTAGAATTTTTCCAGCATGCTGGAAACACAGCATGGAAGTGTTGTGTGATTCAGCCTGCAGATTTTCATCATTCAATGTGCTCGTTCTCCATTGGTTTTTTTTAACTCTTAGAAGTGGAAATATTACTGGGATATGTGGCATAGCTCGGAGAAGCCTCATACAGCTTTTCCCTGGATTCTCTGCATTGCCATGCCAATCCTGAGAGGAGGAATGCTGATATCTTTTTATCTGCCCAGCCCTCATGTGATCTCTTCCAAGAACACTTTAGCAGCTGTTGTGCCACTCACAGAGGGTCTGTTTACCCTGGCACGCACTTCTCACAGAATTAGCTGTGAATTTGTTGCAGCAATTTTCATTTTTGTTTTCCCACCGTCCACTCAGTTATAAACTTGGTGCCGAAGGGTCAGTTGAATGCCTTTTCCATGCGTCATCTCTGTAATTATTTATAATAATTTTCAGATGCATTCTCTAAAAGGAGTGTCATAAAGCAAAACACCTGTGTGCCAAAGACACATGGAAGCTTCCATCTTTTTCCTCTGTGGCCAATGCCTCTGCTCTGAAATAAACAGCCCAGGAGTCTGGGTGTGACAGCTTTCATCTCGGGCCTATCACTAAGATATTTTGATTTGGGGAAATTGCTCTTTAAATAGATAGACTTGCTTGAGAAATAACACCCATTTTACTAACGAGAAACATTCATTTTCAATGTGTTGTAATTTGGCTTCTGATTTTTAAATGTAAACTTTCCGGAGAGAAATGCAGAGGTTGCCGTTGTTGACCTCCCTTTGAAAATGCCAGTTGCCTGGCTAACAGATGTTTGAGTCACTGACCTGAAACAAGCATGCAGCGAGTAGAATTGGAACGCCCAATCTCTGCAATATATGTGCATTTCTATGTTCTCCCCATGGCCAGTTTTTTGTTATTATTGCCCATTACTGTCCATGGTGCTTTGTGACCGTTCTAAATTGATCATTATGGCGTCTTTTCATTGCTGATAAACCAGTAGGAGACAGTCATTTCCACTCCATTGTTATCTTTCGATCATTTAAAGTGACACTGAACTCGGAGTTAAATCTTAGCAATACATTCAAGTACTTTAATGAATAACAAAAATGTATCTTATTTGTGTATCACTGGGCTGCAGATCCTCAAATCATCTCTGAATTGGTGCTGACACTGTCCTTCCTTCTGGAGGATGGTTACTTTTGTTCCCCATGGTCCCTGTGTGTATTGTAGTAACCACCGCTCCAAGCTCACTCCTGTGATGGACTACAATCTCAATACAAATTAGTAAACTAAATGTGAGCTTGTAGTCCATCACAGGAGAGAGCTTGGCGGTGGCTACTTTACAACACACACAGGGAGGATTGTGTAATCTTAAACAATATATACACAGTATGTATCAGAAACCTAAAAATGCAAACCCGTACTACAAAGGGGCACACCTCGTTTTACATGTCGGTTCTAAATCACTGCAGGGGTTATGACACACCTGTCACCTAGTCTACAAGCAAATAGGGTCCAGACTGGTCTGTAATGTTTACCTGTGTATTCTTTCTCCACAGCTTCTGCTCCAGCCAGCACTGTAAATAAAAAACGGGTCCCTCCCGTCCACCACTGCACCTTGGAAAGGAGAAGTGTCACAATGTCAAATATTACTATTGACCCGGATGTCAAGCCTGGGGAATATGTCATCAAGAATCTCTTTGCGGAATTCGCTGCACAAGCGGAGAAAAAAATAGAAGTTGTAATGGCTGAACCCTTGGTGAGTATTTCATCTTGGCTGAATTATCTAGTCCTTGCATGCTTTATCTCATGAAGAACAGCTATAAGGTAACCGTGTGTGTAACCCTAGGAATTTTCTTTTATTTGAAGCTATCGGGCTTTTATACAGGTTTTCGCTCATTCAATTTTTTGTTTTTACTTTGTTCTTAGAAATACATTGTTATATAATGTCACAGATTAACAGACTACTGTGAGCAACATTGTCTATGCATTCATTATATGTTCATTTCTGCATACAGATTGTTTATCTTTTCATCGTACATTTAGTTCTGCAGACAGAATGTTCATCTTATACACCAAAAGGTCACTGAATTTTTGCATGGGAGGATCTTATAGTCTATTTCATATAAGAGCCTCATGTTGATGAGTGTAGACTATTGCATACTATGACCTTATAAACTAACATTAGATAATTGTAACGTGACCAGAATTAGACTAACCAAGACGTAACCATTGTAATCTGCTGCTTTATGGCCAGCTTTGTTACAAATAACTTTTTAAAATAATGCAACTTACATCTGCAAGTTAGTTAGGCCTGGGTACAAACCCAAATAGCAAAAAGTTTTCCTGGCACACTCACAAGCTAGCATGTAAAAAAACCTGTCTCACACTGAGGTTAAAAACAGAGATTGGATACACGTCTTCTGCAGAAAATGTGAAAGCCGCACAGCCGCGCCAAGGCACCTCTTATAGTGCGGTCCTAACTCTAAACTATCAGAGCCTCCATAAACCCAATTCGCTTGAGTTTGCCTAAGCCCGCTCTAAACTGTGACATCAAACATTAGAGAATTTGGAATGCATTTCTGCAGATGATTTGGCCAAGAGGGATGGGTGTCGGTCACAGTGAACTGGGTTTGCACCAAGCTCTGGCTCATCACTAATAGCAAGTCTAGTTGTTATGGTTGGGGGAAATCATCTTGTCCTCTGTAGCACTGTGACTGAGGGAGCCTGATAGACAAAAGTAGAACATGTGCAATTAATGCTTTCCTCACTGAGAGAAGTTCATGATCAACTCCTTCACACACAGTTTTATGTGTGTAATGACAAGCTCTTCTGACTGTAGCGTAGCATAAAATTGCCTGTGTGTGGCATTGTACCCCATTGTTTAAAGGATAAGTGCACTTTTATTGCACTTGTCTTTTTCTATTTCCCCTGTTCCCCGGCATTTTCAGAGTTATTGTTGCCCACACCCTTGCTGTTCCATCATCTTCATTGTGTGGTCTACTGGCCACCACATGGGCTCCAGACAAATCTTCATGTATATTTTGATATATTGGTAATCCTGTCTTGGGGCCACCTCGGCAGCCACAGGTTTGATGGCTTTGTCCACTTGCTGGGTGAAATGCTGTTGAATGTTGCCAGCAATGACTAAGAGACATCACTCAGCAAGTAGCGGATGAGTGTTCTCGCGTAGTGATCCTATAGCTGACAAGACATTCTGATGTACCATGACCCTTAATTTAACCTGTTAATCTTTTTGTCTCCATTACTGAAGTTGGGAGAACTTATAATAAGCAACTTAGTTGGTATCTTAGACCAGTAACAGTCTAGTATCTGTTACAGCTTGCTGCAATTTACAACCATCTTTATTCAGTTATTTTTTTTGGATCTTAAATTCTGATATTTTATCATTTGGATAACACATTAAAATCAGATTAAGTCAGTGTAAGTTGTCATAGTTCTAATAATTGACAATGTACCTTGTGAGTAGTGTTTTCTGAATATGTATAAGCTATTAGGTAATTCATTTTTTGTCAGCAAGGTGAAGCAGCTTTAATTTATTTTGCCAAATTATTAAATACATATAATTAAATGCCCTCACTGCCAGGTAGGCAGTAATATCGAACATCTCAATATTTTAATCAATCTCAATCAACAGATCAGAATGAAATTACTCCATGGTGTTATTGTATTAGTTTTCCTGATTCATCTTGTTATGCAGAAAGTCTACTAATTATACTAATAACAGACTGCAATCCTGCTTTTTAACATTCAGGTCCCTCGCAGAAGTACAGTTACTCAGGATCTGGCCAAACCCTTAGCTTAACCTGTATTTAGCTGAAAGAATTGAATTCGTATGCTGGATGCTGAAAATATAAGTATATAACACATTGGTGTAGTAAAAGATCATAATATAGATATAATATTGTAAAGGATATCTTTTGTGGAGGTTCTAGGCCCCTTTCACACGAGCGTTCAATGCATCTCTATGGCAGTGTGGATGAAAACTGATGACCATCGGCTTATATCGGGAAACATCCGTGTCAGTTGAGGTCCGCATTTTGATATGGATCAGCCCTCCGTTTTGACTGATGTAACTGATGTAACCAGTTCAGGTTACGTCCGTTTTTTGGGACTGATATCAAAATACAGCATGGCAAGTTCAATACATGCTGGGGGAAAGTAAAGAATCATGGGAATTTAATATACTATACTAACAAAAAATACTGATGTCAACTGAGCTGACAACGCATGTGTAAACTGATTCAGTTTTCATTTGTTTCTTTTTGTATCTGTGAACCTTGCCTGAACTGAAGACGCTCATGTGAAAGGGGCCTTACCGTTAATCCCTGTTCAGTCTGATATCCATCACTTGGACAGGTAGTAAGGGTAAATCTTCCTTAAAGGAGAACTATGGGGTTACGGCTTTTCCCCATAGTTCTCCTTAGGGTAACGGGAGGACACAAACTAGCGTCCTCCCGTCACCCTAAGCTCAGTATACTGCGAGCGGCAGCTCGCAGTACACTGAGACGCCGCAGTATACCGCGAGCTACAGCTCGCGGTATACTGAGACGCTGAAGCGAATCCCGACAATTATGTCTGAATCCGCCCAGCTCTGCCTATCTAGAGGCAGAGCCAGCTGTACCCGCCCCGTCCGTTCCGCCAGTCAGCGCTGGAGGATCGGAGGGGGGAATCCAGCCCCTCCCCTGTCACGGCAGAGAGCTGTGACAGGATCGAGAAGTGAGCGAACGCAGGTATGTGATCTACTGAGCCGACCTGTAACAATCTCAGATATAGATATATATATCTATATCTATATCTATCTATCAATAGATAGATATAGATATATATAGATCGATATATGTGTATATATAGATATCTATTGGATATTTTAAAATGCAATAGCAGGAGAGCTGAGAAGCAGAGCGGCGGCTGCAACTAATCGATGATGAGAATTGCTGGCAACGATTCTCATCATCGATCATAATCGATTAGTTGTTGCAGCCCTAGGTGCTAGTGCTGTCCTGTCTGCCTTGGTTAGGAAGGCTTCTCAAAGCTGTCTTCTTTTTTACTTATTTAAAGAACAAATGCAGGCATAATGAAATGTGATCCTTGCAGTGGGGCTGCCCCTGCACTGCAAGGGTTAAGTGCTCATTTTGGTCTCGGGAGTAAAATAAAAAAGATATACTCACCTGGACCTTGGTCCCGTCTGGCTGCTAGACCGGTCCACGCAGCCTCTCTCCCGCTCTGGCCGTGGAATGTCCCTTAGGGTCCTAACGTCTAATACACTGTTTGGTATGCCTTTTTTTTTTTTAAACCCTAGACCAAATTGACCACTTAACCATTTCAGTGCAGGGGTAGCCCCACTGCAAGGATTACGTTTTATTCATGCCCAGAATTATTCTCTTACTCTGGCTAGACTGAGATGATATCAGTATGCTGCAGGCAGGAGACGGCATTTCCTCTCCCATGAATTAGACTGAAACATTGTAACTTTATAGTGACTTCCTTAAGGTGAGAGGCTGCACTCGGGAATGGGAATGTGCCAGGCATTTGAGAACACAGCCAAGATCTGCACATGAACCATGATTGCATAATTGCATTGTCTCTGAGCCAGGAAGTCCAGGAAGTAAATGCTGAACAAATATGGTGCCATCCTTCTAAGGAAAAAACATTATTAGAGACAGTACTGTACTACGATCTCTGTGTCATCATAACTCGTAATAAGAGGTGTTATCCTTACACATTACTTGGCATGCATGCACTTAATATAAACAAATATCAGTATTAGTATTTAGGTATGCATTAGTAAGTAGTTTGCACACTTACATTGGCCCAGCTTGACCCAATGTAAGTATGCATGTGCCATACCTGATCAGCCAATAGGGGTGCTGTAAACTACTGTGGTAGCTGCAGCTACTATCAACGTGTTTTCTTAATTAGGAGGCATGGCTCCATGCTTTTATTAGGCATGTCCCGATACCACTTTTTCAAGACCAAGTACAAGTACATCCCCTCATGTACTTGCTGCCTCTTGTAGTCGTCGCTGGGCAGGATGGCTGCATTGCGTCTCGGTGCTCAGCTTGTGGGAGGCGCTCACAATTCTGCCCTAACATGAATCAGTTAAATCATTATCCATAGTACACATAGAGCACACGCATCCAGTACACTGCAGTAATAGAGTTACAATTATCCCCTGCTAACATGAATGGGTTAAATGATCCATAGTACATAACATGTAGTTGTACCACGGATCATTTAACCCATTCATGTTAGCAGGGGATAATTGTAAATATATTGCTGCAGTGTATTGGGAATGTGTACTCCTATATGTACCACATATAGAGTACACTATAGAGTACACTGCAGCAATAGAGTTTTTCAATTATCCCTGAATAGGTTAAATCATGATTTTATGTACTACGGATCATGATTTAACCTATTACTCTATATGAAGTATATGTACAGTGCACATTACAAATACAATGCACCTCCCATTTCAGCACAGGCCCTCACTTACTGTTGCCTGTTCAATGGAGGTGCCTCACGAGGTGCCAAATTATTTTCCTCACATGTGAGGACGTCGGCGGCGCTGAGCGGAGGAGCATCGCGTCACTGCTGTGGGCGGCGCTCCAGGTGGAGTCCTTTGGGCAGTCGCCGGCCACCTACATTAGGACCCCACCTGGAGCGCCACCCACAGCAGTGATGCGGCGCTCCTCCGCTCAGCGCCGCCGACGTTCTCACATGTGAGGAAAAGCA